GTAATGCGTGTGGGATCAAGAGTAGAGATAATGTCTGAGACTTGTTTGTTTGGTAGAAACAGAGTGTAGAGATAATGTCTAAGGAAGAAGCTAAGATAATGGTTGAAGAAGAAGCTAAGGGTTTGGATTACATACCTGAAGTGATACTCAAGAAGAGGAAGAGCAGAGATGAGCTTGCTTTTATCAGGAAGAAGCAACTTGAGTTGGGAAATTTCAGCAAGAAGAAAAAGAAAGTTGTTGATATCAAACGGCCCGAAGACTTCGTGCTTGAGTTCAGGGCTAAGGTACGTCTTGATATTCATTGTATTCATATAATATTTGTTCATCCTTTTTTTGTCACTGTTTTTTAGTCCAAATTCTGATTTTGTTTGTAGACTTGTCTTAATTTTTTAAAAAAAATTAATTTTGTTAAGAACACAAAACATGGTTCCACCATTGAAACTTAAGAACACAAAATTGGTTCTTAACCAATCATAATCCTAAATTAATAATAAAATATGTCTTAAGAACACAAAACATGTATTTAGTATTGCACATGCTCTTAGAATGCTCTAGCTGTTGTACACTTGTACGAGTAAATCGTGTTATTCATCATTTTTTTTTATTATTCTACGTTTTTTTGGTTTTACTATATGCAATTTTATGTTTCAGTTTATTTTTACGGATTGTAATATATGTTTAAAATAAAATTTTATGAAACTTAATAAATTTGATTTTTTCAGTTTTTAATTAAAAATATATTTTTTTATTCTTTAAAATCTCATTGAGTATCACCATTAAACATACAAAATTTAAAAAATTCTTAATGAGTCTCAAAGATTAAAAAACTATTAAAATTAATACTAAATTATTTTTGGTGATACCCACATACTATCACCAATAATGATGTTCTAAGTACTTCTTAATGAGTCTCAAAGATTAAAAAATATTAAAATTAATACTAAATTATTCTTGGTGACAGGGCCGTCTCAATTTTTTGTAAGATCCTAGGCAAAAGAAAATATTTTGGACCTTTTTCAAGAGAAATTAAAAAAAAAAAATTTTGGGCTTTCTTTTCTTAAAGAATTTAAAAAAATTTCACATGGACCATGTGCGATAGAATCACTTGCCACCCCTCTTAGACGGCCCTGCTTGGTGATATCCACATGGTATCACTAATAATAATGCTCTAAGTACATAGAGTATACACAGATTTACATATAAATATGGTCATGTGACTCATGTCTATAACATGTTTTCCTCAAATTTGAAACTATTATTGTCCTATTGTGTCAAGATAATGCCTCTCTTGCAAGAAGCCACTAATCAGTTTACCGTTTGAAATTTCTAGGTGATTATCCTTAAATCTAGAGCATTTTCTTTTTGTCCTGATGCAGAATTAGAGAAGTACATATATAAATTGTTGCATCTTATTCTTCCTTTTATCAACTTACTTTTGAAGATGGATTGACATGTTATTTTATTTTAGGTGTTTTCATATAGACGTTTGACTCATAATGAAAATATTTGTCTAATGCACAATCAATATTTCGATAAATCAACTTTTGTTGGAGATTGACGAGATATCGAGATTATAGAAATCATAAAGATAAAGTAAGATCTAGAAAGATTGTTGGTATTTGTCAATATTTAGTTTAGAAAATTTAGGGGGGTAATTGGCACTAGAATTTAGATAGAGTTGGGTGATTTTAAAAGTATGAAGATTTGTGAAATTTGTAGATAGATTTGTTAAATTTATAGAAAATTTTATGTATTTAATAAAGAAAAAATGACTCAAATCCCATGAAACTATGCGAATATGACTAGAATACCATATATCTTT